TAAAATGCCATCGGCAGCACCGGAAAACACGGCCTTGCTCCTCTTTTTGATTTTGCCGCTGTTCCATGGCGTCGCAACATTCTGCTTCTTAATCTCAACGTCGCTAGGGATATCGTCGTCGCTGCTGTCACCAATGACAGCTCGCAGCTGGGCAACTTTCTGACTTGTCATAGCTTGTTCCTTTGCGCAGGCAGTGTCCTTTTTGTGTGACGAAGCCTTGTCGACGTGTTCTCTCCGCTTCGTTCTTGGCGGAGACGACACTTGAACGCTGTCTGAATCAGAATCGTTCCGAGCACTGGCCATGCTCGCAGTCGGTTTCAGTACCTTTTGGTCGGATGCTGGATTCTTGATACTAAGTGCAGACTCGTTCTCGCTCGAACTCATGCAAGCAGGCGTGTCTCTCGTTGCTACCGGTACGTCCAAAGTCTGCTGCAAACCAAACTTCTTGAAGATGGCAGCCGACTTATTCTGGGCCGTTTCTGCAGTCACCGACTCTTGCTTGCGATCCATTCCTTCACCGAGCCCAGGAGAAGGCTGACGAATTGAACGCTTTTCCGACAAGTCGATTTCGCAGGCCAAGCTCTTCTGATCTCCCACTTCTTCATCCGACTCGCGAGGTCGCTGAGTTGCAACCAGGCTGAATTCGGCGTCGTCGTCTTTCGCAGATACTGACGGAAACATGGCTCGACCGTATGCTCTACTTTCCTCGCACAACACTCGACCCTCTTCCGCGTCTTCTAAGCCATTGTCTTGCATGATGAGCATAACAGCCGTCTCGGGGACAAGCACGCGTCGCATGAACCAGTCCTTGTCGAGCGGCGCGATTCTCTTGCTCGTCACTAGGTCACAGTCGTTGTAAAACATCTGAGCGAGGTGGTCCGACAAGAAGTCTTTGCCTCTCGAGCCATAGCTAAAATGTCGCAGTCAGCTTGCTGCGTTTCCCGACATACACGCACAACTCACTACCCAGGCTGTTCAATCTCAAAAGACTCGTATTCGCTCATGACAGTCTTGACTTTGCGACCCTTTGCTAACCATTCGTTCTTCGCGATTTCGAAAAAGTGGCTTGGTTGTTCGCCGCGGATAATATTCAAGATGCGATCTTGCAAGCGATCGATACGCCTGATCAAGCAATTCTCAGTCATCCGTAATGTCTCATTGCGCTTGAGCTCCATACCGCGAAAGATTTTGCCAGTCAATCGACTTTGGCCAGCCTCTGGCCTTGCCTTCGGGAATGACGACCGCTTCGTCCTCGTGCATTCGGCAAAAGCTGGCTGTTTGAGCAGAAGGCAGTCGCTTTGCCAAAGGATTCAAAGCTGTCGGCCTGTCCTCGACGAGGTCGAGACTGAGCAGATAATTTTTTAGTTTGAGCAACGTTGGCGACGGTTGCGATGGCATTGTTCGGCTACAGAAAGGACAAAGAGTTCTCGGATCGATTTGAATGTCTGCATGGAGGACGTGGGTTTCAGCAGCGGCTGCTCACCCATTGAGATCCGAAGTTTACCCTCAGCCAGCAAAGGATCGAGGCTCTTTTCGCGCTTGTTCTGGGCTTCGTCATCAGACTCGATCACGCGTTGCTTCAGCCGCTTGTCCTTTTGTTCAATTTCCCTTTGGTGCTCGAGCTCTGCATCGTAGGCTCGAAGCTGTTGCTCCTTCTCTTTGTTAAACATTGCGCGCAAGTTGTACTTGTCATCGTTCTTCTCCTCCGATGCCGACGTGGCGCCTACCTGGGGCGACTTTGGCGGAGAGTTGCTGACGAAGACAATTACGATCACCTCCACAGCCCAATGTAGTACCGAAAAGAGAGCTTACCAGAGGTCGATTTCGACAGGCTCGCCGCCCAATTTGGCCTTGTTCTTGGCGACTGTTTCAGGTGCGGACTGAAACTTAGTCGGCATTGTGACTGAAGTCTTTGTTGAAGACGTTGATATGCCGTCAAAACTTGGGCTTGCGAACGAAACAATATCGCTGCTGCCACCTGCCGAAGACGACAGTCGCTCGGCTTCGCGTTTGCGCTTGCGTTCCTCTGCCTTGCGTCTTTCGGCTGCCTGCCGCTTAGCTTCTCTTTCGTTGAGACTATCGAGCTTGGCGTCTTGTTCCCTCCGAGCCAATGCCAGCTTTCTCGCCTCTTCGAGGTCTCGCCTCGCGGTAGATTCTCGTGCTGCAGCGTAGGCGTGTGACATGTCAAAGTCGTTCTCCATCGTGTATGCGTTTCCAGTCTGAGTGTTGCGATGATACGAAATGTCTTGTCGGTGCTGTGAGGCCTGCCGGTAGTCCTGCCGGTCCTCATGCGGTCGTGAGCTTCTCCAGCGGTGTCCATCATGTCTAGTATTGTTGGAGCTGCCGTCTGCTCTACTGTGATGGTGTGCCGGCGCGTTCCTGTGCTCCTGCGGATCGCGAGAGCCTTCTCGAGGGACGGCGATTGGCTTGCCGTTCGCGGGGCCGGGCCTCTTGTACTGCTGCCACTTGGTCATGCCCTTGCCGAGCGCCTCTTTGTGGGCGTACATGGCCTGTGGCGCGCACCGCGCCCTGTCGGACCGAAAGATGTCGTGGAAAAGCACTCGCGTCGCGTCGCGTGACTGGCTTTGCAAAGACGCCGTGGTCGGCTTACCCAGTAGCTTGCATGTGAAAGCCTGTATCGTAGCTACATACTGTAGGCCCGCTGAATATTTGCGTAAAGTTGAGGTTCTAAGCACGTGACTCTGTTGCTTTCGCCGTCGACACCTGCAACGATGCAGGGCTACACTGTCGACGCAAACAGCGTATGTCATGCTCATCCATGCGACGAAATTATCTGCTCACGAGTGTAAGGGACAGCCGGCGATCGCGCCGCCTCCCATCGCCAAGGACTCGCCATACGCGGCAGCGCAGATTGCGTTTCAGCAAGAGGCTGCATTTCTCCCGCGATCGGCAATACTTCAGCCGCCACCGGCGGTACAGAAGCACGCGGCTGACTCGCCAGCTCCTCAAGAGTCTGCCGTTGGCTATGCAACGAGTGACGACGGCTCAGAACTGTATATTCCCGGTCTCACGTCGACCAGTCTTTTTACAGAGATTCCCGATGCAAGCCTTGCACCCCATTCTGGACCGGCTTAAGCTGACCTCGCTCGCTGCCAGTCGGATTCTATTGCTGCTCTGGTCGAAAAGTATATTCCACCGCAGAACCGTCCAGCAAGAGACTTGTCAGGAGATTGGCAAGGACACACGATCGATGAACTGATAGTACGCCGAACGATTAATCGCCGAGAGACGGTGTTGACGCAGGCGCCCTCAGGCCGCGCGCAAGTGGCGCGCAATCGCCAGATATTGCCACGATACAATCTTGGACGCGTCACCCGAACAGACTTCTTATCTTTTAGCCGTGCGTTGTGACTATCCGCCAAAGACGAATGACGAGCTGACCGTCCGCTTTCGCAGTTGTGGTGCCTGCGCTTGCAAGCAATCTTACGCTTGCGTCTCGTCGAACAGTTCGCGGCCGAGGTCGTGGCAATAGCTGCGCTGATGCCCGAACCGCCGCAAGGCCGCAACTTTCACGCCCTCGTGCCTTTCGAGCTCCGCGTGTACCAAGTCAACGTTCTCGCTTTGCGCGGCAACAGCAAGGCGGCCCTCACTGAATACAGCTTTCTCATCAAAGCTTGCAAGGCAGAAATGTGGGCCGCTCAGGATGCACACGACGAGGTATCTACGGAAACGTGGCGGAAACGCGCGGACCGTGTAGCCGGGATGCTTTGCAGTGCCATGCAAGACATGCAGGTACGTGTTGAGCTGAATTATTTACCTACAGTTGCTGATGTCGCCCTTTTACAGGCAAATGCTTCATGTCTCAATCAGCTTCGCACGAGAGGCGATATCACACGGTCTCCGGCCCTTCTGCAAGCTGTGACGAGATATCACGTTGCCACTGGTAATGTGACGACCGCTCAAAACGTTTTCACGCCTGCAGACGCCTCCACGTCCAACGTACAAGTGCAGAAAGCACAAGTGTTGGCTCACGTTGGTAATGGCGCCTGGACCGAAGCGGAGAAAGCGCTGAGAATGCTGGTCAAGGTCGATCCTCGCGATGTTGAAGTGAGCTGTACCCAATCCGTTCGAGAACCTTTGTTGACACTTGAAGCAGGCGCGAAGCAACCTCGCTGTCGTCCTCTTGTTCATGTCACGCTTACAAGATGCCATTCAAGTCTACCAAGAGCTCATCAAAGATATGCCTGAAGCGGCATACGCATCAGAGACGGTCTTGTTCAACTTGGCGACGCTACTCGAGCTAAGAACCGAGGCTGCAACGGCGAGCAAGATAAGGTTGCTCAATGGCGTGGCCGCACGAGGTGTTCAAGGCTTGCGTGCCGGCTGTCTCAAATTGATTTTATGATCCTGGCTGTATGCTTGTTGTTGTATTTGAAAAGGCGGATCTTGGAAGGTTGAGGAGGGCACGAAAGACGAGCGCCTACGGGGTGCGGCATGCATCGGGTTTTCGGTCTGTTCGAGGCAACCTTTTACGATCACTTATGGGTGGGAAGTACATCGTAACCGTTCATGCACAGATGGTCGAGATGTCACGCGAAACCTAGAGCTTGCTTGATTGGACACAATCACGAACCCGCTGAACACGAGGCAACACCAATTGCGGCAGAGAAGCCGTTGACTGTCTACCACCTGTCGGAGTCCAACATTGTTGAAGCCAAAGCTCGCAAAGCTTAGGAATCTTCTTCGTCCGTAATGGATTTGTTCTTCCCCCAATCTATCCTGTAGATGACCAAGTGAGCAATTGCATTGGATAGTTTAATTAGAGAAGAAAAATGGATGCGGCGAACATTCGCCGAGTTCCTGAGCGCTGGTTGTCGGCGCGGTCACGCGTTCATAGGCCTGAGAAAAAGGCTGACCTTCTTTGCACGAATTGGATGGTTTGATTGGACAGATGACCAAGTCATCAATTGCCATGGAAAGTTTGTTTAGGGAAAAAAAAACGACAATGCACTGCCCGCCCCGTCGTGGCAAAAAAGGTTTGACATCAGTGGGACTCGAACCCACGCCTCTTGCGAGACCAGGAAGTTCGCTATGCGAACAAGCTGAAGCTTGAATCTGGCGCCTTAGACCGCTCGGCCATGATGCCCATGGAAACAAATTGGTTACAAACATATATATACCTGCTATACTTTTCTTGCAGCAAAATAGGCAATCAAGATTCTCTTGATTGGAGCCCCACAGTGTTGGACTGTGCCTTGCATGTTCCTTCCTGCATAACTGCA